CCTAATACCGCTTGAATCCCTGTAAACCAACACATGATAGTTAATCTGATACTCACCAGCTTTGTGCCTGCATTTCTAATGAAACATTGTAGCGAGTGAGGTACAGCATGTGGAGTTTGGGGACAAACACTTGTTGCCGATGGCACTGGTCGGTGCCAGTGGTGCTATATCGTGAATTATCAGAAGTTGTAATTCACGGGCTAGCAATTGTATTGAGTCCCTGTGACTGAATTGCCTACTGGCTAGCTTTAAAATCCTTGAGGTCTTGAATTCGGACCCCTTTGGTGGGTGCGTACTACTGAAAAGTTCCAATAAAGGACGAAACAGTTGTTCAGTGCTCCTTTTTCTTCAGATAGTTCTCTGACTGATGTCAACCTGTGAATAAACCTGTGACTTATTATTATGTAGGACATAAGGCCATGAAAATATGGTATCTTTTTTTGTTCATGTAACTTCTATACATGTTATGATGTCATTCAGAAAACTTGTATAACCTGACATATGTCATGTTATTCACAATGATGTTAGCTAACTAAATTTATGCTTAATCTTTGGTTACTGGCGTGTTGATGAATCTGGCATATTCATATACATGCCTTCAGGTATATATATATATATATATATATTATAGTGCTTGTATCTATCTACTGTTTCTTACCTATAATTTTCCTATGGAAATTTGTGTTTCTTCTTTTTTTTAACTACTTTACTTAAACCTTAGTGACACACATTTCCGATTTGCTTCTGCTGAAATTGAATGAGACCAATAACAAGGTAGATAACAAAAATCATCTATAAAACCAACATCACAGTTAGCACAATGTTAACAGCACTGAATCCCTTTCGAATAAACCTGAAACAAAATTTACACCCACCATAACTTTAATGAATGAAGAAATGTCTCTTACATTCTTAGTTTGGCCTTTAGCGTAAGACTTGCTATTGCTTTCTGAAATTTGAAGAACTTTGTCGGAGACATATGAATCAAACTGTTTCAAATCATAGAAGCCACGATAACTCATACGCTAAAGCCTGAATCGCACTTACAGAAAGCGTTTCTTGAGTCAATACACTATGGGCTTAATCTATCTAAGCACAATGCATAATTTCTTTTCTACTTTTATACCACTGCAGCTCTACTCCTTAGCATACTGATCCTAATTTGATCTCCCCATTTTCCTTGAAGTTTGCTGTCTTCTCACATCAATTCTGTTGCATAATTCCTGATTGTGGCCGACTGAATTATGCGGAACACTGTATATGGGGATAAACAAAACAGGAATACGTAGGACCCATAAGTCTACTCTTGAAGATCTGAATCCCTGGATGGTTTATGTCTAATATCCCACGAATTCAAAGACTTACAAGTGAAACCAAACAAACTGGGAAAACAGTCAGGCAGTAAAGACAGAGCTTCAAGTAAATATAAAGAAGACAGAGGTGATGAAAATAACCAACAAGCAACAACAAACACTAATCACTACCAATGGAATAATGTGGGAAAAGTCACTCCCTTCACTTATTTGGCCAGACAGCATAGTTTCAACTGCAGTCAGACGGTACGGATGAGGATTGCAAAACTATCCAGGAGTGGAAAATCAAAACGCAGCCTCACCGCTTTGAAACCAGTTTGAGAATCTTCTGCAATCTGCATATGCAACAAGATTTGGATTTTTAGAACCAATGTTAAATCAGTGCTTCCATTTGGTTCAGAAACTCGGCCAGCTCGTCACAAAAAGTATTTTCAGTGGTTCACTACAGAGTTTCACCAACAGCTGCCTTCTCTGGTTGCATACTGAATATCAGATGGCCAGTGACAATTAGAAACAAAAACCAGTAGGAATCTATTGCTCCGCAAATATGTAGAAGAAAATGAAAATGGACTTATCACACTCTGGGGAGGCCGTTGAATGACATCTCACACTAGACCATCGTTACAGTAGAACTCGAATGGGAATCGACTAGGTGGTCATTTGTTCCAGGGTGCCATGGAGACGATTGTATGAAGCAGAGGTGATAGTTTATTGGCAGCCAGCTAAAGAATACTGCGGAAAACTGGGTATAATGGAAGATTGCTGTTGAAACCTTAAGTTACACTCAAAACCAAGGCAATAATAATACTCTTACTCAACTCAACTTCCTAATACTAACATATTTCCGTGTTGGAACCTGTGGATCTTTTGTTCCACCCAGGAGGATGTATGTAAATTCAGTGCAGACATTCCTCGAAATAGAAACTACTCATTGCTGGGATCTTCATAAATTTAAAAAGTTCTTCAATTAATATTGTTCTCAGCTAAACACTAAGGACGAAAGGTTATGAATCAATTCATTGAATCGAATGTTAAAACGAACGCAGTTATTATCGGGTTAAGAGTTACACTTATCGTGTGAGGTCTGGCAATACTACCTACTTGCCCACGTGGGAGGTTGAGTACAGCAAGACTTGAAGTCGAGGCACACTCGCTGGAAATCTAGTGCCACACATATTTTTTTTAAATAGCTCAATCGTTTATTCAGTATGAACGCATTCTAACTGTATCAGAATCACGCCTTAAATCTATTGACTCAGTAAACTGTAGTTTTAATACGTCATTGTAAGTTCCATACAGAGTGTGACTGAATAATACCGACTGAATAAATGCTGTTGTTTATCTATTGATAAGTACAGTAAGATATTTGTCAGTAATTAGGGATTGTAACAAGTAAGGCGTATAAATTAAAGAAGATACTGTACTGTGTAAGCTTGGATTACTGTTCCTTTTTGAAATGACAGTAAGTGAAGAAAAGAGATGAATCTATATATGATAGATAACAGCATATTTTGTCATTTGGGCTATATAACTTCTCATATCTTTCTAACAACTTGAGTGACTGATTTTCAGAGATACAACAGTTCAAGTCGCCGTACTTCATGTTAAACACAAATGTAGTTTGACGAGAAAGACTAGATTAAATAATAAAAACGAGCAGAATATGAGGCAGAAAGATAGAAAAACGCGAAAACATGACTGTTGAGTGGATGTAGAGGATCACAGAAAGAGTGGATGCTTCTGTAACAACGCCACATCACCAGTAGTTTCTAGTCACTGGTTCTTACCGTCTCAGTTACCCGAACCAGGCATTCTACACTTTTCCACATGGCTGGCTAAAATTACCATCAAACACTTCATGATTTGATGCCAGGTTTCGATTTGACCTCTAAGAAATCTTTTCCAACCTAATTAGAGGCGGCTAACATTTCCAGTCGAAGTAAGCGATTGCTGGGATTTCTGAACAGTTGTTCTAGCCATTTCAGTCGATTAAGCTTCACAACTCCATTGATCGACTTACCATCCTTACCTAACACCAGATTCATGACTCAATATTGCTCTACATATTATACTGCTTAGCACAGGAGATAAAACTCAGACACCTTTGATCAAAGATGGATAGCTAGTCTTCCCATATCTTCCACTTTCATTGTCCATGTCTCACAGTCATAAAGGAGAACAGAGCAAATTACTCCGCAACACACGTCCGTTAATCAATAATTGCATATCCCGTCAATTGAGAGATGTAACTCAGAAGCACATGGATGAAGCATTTCCATGAAACATAATAAATGTATCCATTAGGTACTAATAGTTTCGCCCAAGAAAAATAAAAGCACCTTGTAAGCTTAGTTATTCTTAAATCGCAGCATTATTTATGAGTATTTTGACCACAAGGAGGACAAAAAGGATAAGCTATTTACGTAAAAACACTATGAATTTGTATAAGTTAGAGAACACCTATTTCGTCCTGGTTTTGGACTCTTCCTCAGCACCCACTTCTGTTAATTGGATTCCCTCTCCAGTAGCTGAACAGTCAACGAGCCTGGCCTCGTAACCTGAAGGTTCCAGGTGCAATCCCCGGTGGGGGAATGTGTGCTTGGACGAAATAGTTGTTCATAACCATCTGGTTTTCAATGGTTTTTTAACTACGTCAGTCCATGATCAAACATGAAATGAATCGAATTCTTGAAGTCTAACTCTTGTCACAATAAATGCATCAGTTAACTATAGTAATAAGATTTTGTGGCCGATTGGCCTAGTGGATAACACTTTTGACGTCGGTGGCACAGCATTAGAATGCTCGCCAACCACTCAGGAGGTTCGGGGTTCGATCCTCGGCTGATGCACTTCTTTAACTTATTGACCCAGTGATAAGACTGATAAAGAAGGGAGGTTGGGAATGAAGCTAGTAACCTCATCTTGCGATAATAAACATCACTGTTACAGAAACTTCAAGCCTCTTGCTTGAAGCCCTATGTTCCCCTGGGAACATGAAGGGATGAAAAAATTAATAAGATTTTAGAAAAGTCAGACTACTGTTGGAAGACTGTCTCAATTAGCCCTGGATTTTCCAACTGGTATTGGTGTGACCATTGAGAGTTTAATAACGAAATGGATTGCTGCCTATGGATTATCTTTACTTTGAATCATCATCGATTATACCATAGTCAAGTCGCCATCAGAAAACTTGTGATATATTGCTCACCAAGAAGCCTGTCACCTAGTTTCCCAGTATCTTACTGCGTGATGTCAGTTTGTACGTACACTCTCCTGAAGCAGCTTCAAATATTCGAGCGGCTTCAATTTTCTAAATCATAAAGCATTTTCATTGAGAAGTCCAGCTTACTTGGCTTTTAAACTGGACAGAGTTTTTTACGACATATCATTACCATCTTCCAAACAGAAACATATCATAAAGCCTTCGTAAAAGATCTTTTATCAACAAAAATCTACGCTAATTTGGAGCTTATATATATTCAACTGATGTTTTGCTGTTTGCAGACGAAACTCAATTGTGTCAGTGTTGCAACAAGCAATGTGTAGAGTACAAAACCATCTCTGTGCATAATTAGGGCTGTGATTCACTCTAGTGCAAAACTGACGAACCAGTGAGGCGAATAGCTTTTAGACATACTATGGCTACACCAAGATTCAATACGGCTTTAGAGATAAATAAATACTCACCTTTTCTGTTCGATTCTGTGCCGATTCATCAATATGCTTTAAAGTAATTGATTTCCGTCTGTGTTCATGTCGATTACTAGCTCCGTACTTCGTATTATAATTTCGAGGCCGAGAATTTTTTCCAGTTAGGGAGGAAGTTCGACGAGAATTCACACTGTCGTGTTGTGGTTGCAATGTTCTTCGATGATCTAAATTTAAAGGATTCTTCTCTCTTTCTTTGAACTCCATTTCAAGATTCCAGTTGTTTTTTTCAATAGAATTTGTGAGGTATTCTAAGGCTTTAATAAGACTTTCAGTTTGTCTGATTGAAAACAACTTTCTACTCGATTTTCGTTTCTTTTTTACATTTGGAAGACTCGCTATCGCTGTCGTCGTTGCCTTCTTCACTGGAGATATTTGATTAGTGGTAGGAGAATCCAGACGTATTTTTGGTACTGCTTTGCGAGAAATCTGCCTAGGAAATTCACTTCCTATTTGACCTTTATCATGCTGGAATGGCGTTAAAGTATTTTGTTTAATTTGTGGGGAAGTCTTCTCGATGTCGACCATGGGGAGACTTCGATTGTGTTTGTCTGGTTAAAGTCGAATCGTCTGGCATTGACAAATCGAGCAATGTAGTTGATCATTGTTCACTAAATCAAGCTGAACACCTGGGATATTTGGATTTCGATAGTACACTGTCCATTTGTCACCATGATCATCTCCAACTGTCTCTGAGAATGTGGTCGGTTGATCCGAAACAGACGGTGGGAAAGTATGAGGAATCCGATTTGGTGACTGGAGTACTTTATTTGGTTGGATATCAAGCAGTAAATTGTCTTCTATTGTACGATTCTTGTGCTACAATTAAGTGAAAAAAAGATTTCATCACATAATAACAACATAATAATAATGATTTACTTTATTCCAAAAACAGTACTTGTGATACAGAATGGAATTTTCACCATTAATCACACACAATATTGCATCTAATTTCCTCAAATTATAAATAAAAATTTTTGTGTGCGTCAGTGGCACAGCGGTTAGGACGCTCACCGACCATGCATATGGTCCTGGGTTCGATCCCCGACCGACGCACTCCTTTGCCTCGTTAAACCAGTAATAAGACTGGTAAGAGGAGTGGTTGGGTATGAGGCTAGCAACCCATCCTGTAAAATAAACACTGCTAAAGAAACTTCAAGCCACTAGTTTGAAGCCCTATGTTCTACTGGGAACGTGAAGGAAATATTATTTATTATTTTACTTATAAATAAAATTAATCACACAGAAAGTTTCCACATTTACAATAGAGGTAATGTCAAAAACATGCAGCATATAAAATGGAAATAATAATAATGATATCAGCTAAGGTAATAATAATAATACAAGTGACAATTGCCGTTGGCTTGTATCACACAGTATTGGCAATGTGGTATAGAGATCCTTACATGTTTAAAAATATTGAATATAATGTTCTCTTTACGTGATATGGTGAGGGAAAAAACAACGATTACAGCAGTCATAGAGATAAGTTGGTGTCTGCAATGATGAGAGTAAAAAAATCGAAGAAGTAACAGGACCATAAATATAATAGAAATAATAAAAGTAAAACTTGAATGTATATAAGAATGGATGGATGGAGGAAATTGTTTATTTACTAGATGAAAAAAGTTTAGTTAATTCTTGCCTGACACTATTTTCATCACATAAAATACGTGCCAAGTATGGTATCATAGAATTTTCATACTTAGACGTGCGAGAATACAGTTTTCTGAAGTTACTTCTTGTTCTACCTGAGAAGATGCAAGGTGAGAGCTGAGGGTAAAGCGGATGCTCCAAGTCAGACAAAATCCCTTTAGCAAATTTATTGCACGAAATCAAGTGCCTATCGATAACAACATTAACTATGTGGTTCACTGGGACACCACTCACCCTACTGACAGTCTTCAGTATTCTACGAATCGTGACATAGTCTTTTTTAAGCAAACCAGGAAAGAATAAGCAGGGGTGAACAATAAAGAAGAATAGGTAGGATGCAAGAGTTTATGAACTGTAAAAGGAGGGGTTGAGTTATACCCGAGTGCCTTAACTTCTTAGTGTAAAATGTCAGGCGGAATATTTTAATGGAGATTGCTAAACATGGGAAGTTCAGGAGAGATTAGAAGAGAGAATAAGTCCAAGATACTTAATTTCTGAATTGACTCCTATATCATTGTCGTCAATTTTACAACTGTCACGAGAATCGATGAATTCTTTTAACTGTCGTTTACATCTTAAGCTGAAATCAACAGTTTGACACTTAGAAGGATTCAGTTTAAGACTGTTAGACTCAGACCATTTGCTGACTTCCGATAGAAAGCTATTTATTTTAGTACAATCTAGCTGGGAGCTAACAGCCACTGAAACTGTTAAATCATCAGAGTTCTTCACAAAGTTTATTTCATCAGAATGAGGCAAGTCAAGTAGGAATAAAAAAAGAACAGGAGAAACGATAGCGCCTTTAAGGACTAGATTTAAAAATGAATTTGTGACGAACAATTTCAGAGTTGCTGTAAGTGTGAAATATCTATAGGAGGAGCCAAGTACGTCATGGCTACGTCATTGTCTACTCATATATCAGCCTTTCAAACAATCTTCTTCGACAAATTTTAGTTCCTGCAGATTGTTCTGAAAGACTACCTGAATAAAATGGTAATCATTTGTATTCCACAGGTTCTCATCATCTACAGATTAATACCTGAAATTACAACGGTTAAAAAAACACTACATGGAAATAACGCACTGCGGTGTTTGAATAATATCAGGGGATTTGTTATAAGAAATTAATGCATCAGTAACGTGAGTATTACAGTTTTTAGTTTACGTTAACGTCAATTTATTTGCTTTGAAAGTAGGAAAGGAGATGAAGGGACGACTAATCTGATAAACAATGTGTGAATGCATCAGTTCACTTAGCAATTGAAGAAGCTTACAATTCATGAGGTTGAAATTTATTCATTGAGTTATAATCAATAATACGGATGTGACTAACCGATATAATTAAAATGCAGTTACCAATAAAGTGAGAGATTGATTACACTCTCTTTCAGTGCGCTGAATAAGTTTGGTTTAAAAACGCCTGATTGCTATTGCTTCAGCTGTCCTTTGTATGTTCAATATTTTGAAGGATTTAAAAATCTCGACAAAATTACCCGTCTCCACCACAATGATAATAATAACTTTATTATGCACAATGAGTTTACACAGTTCGCATAAATTTCATCTAGGGATTTCAAGGAAAACAGCCATCTCCAGTAAATTATGTGATGCAGTGATGTTATATCAGAAGAATGAATAATCAACCACGGTATTTCCTTCGTTGGTCCTCCGGAACTGAGCAAGAGTAGGCCGCAAACCAATTTTTATTTATTTTTGATTATAGCTTGATTCCACACCATATATTTGGTACAAGTATGGAATTCTCAGCATGTAATATTGATAGCCCAAATTTTGCATGCCGACAATAGATATCAGGTGTGTATCGGCGGGGTCTCGAAGCCCGAAGCATATGCATGATCGGCAAGAGTCCTAACTGCTGTGCCACCAACGCACACACAAAAATGTGGATGAGTACATTTAGCAGGTCACGAACATAACTGAATGTTTATAACAGCGAGAATCAAAGCAAATAAGATACACTGTCTCGGATGAAAATTCAGGTCTGTCTGTCTGTCTGTCTGTTTTCGACATAGAACTTTGCATAAATGTGCGGAAGTACAAGTCGCCACACTCCGTGTAGCACGCGAAGCAAGAGAAGAAAGTATAAGAAAAGCATAATAGAAACTGTGAGCAGAGGGGTGAGACAAAGGAGGAGTAATAACGAAGAACAAAACAGTTTCATTGGAGATCATAAGTCACAAGGAGTGGATTCATCTGCGCCACTGAGACCGGTTTTGAGCCATGTCACCAATTGTTTCCAACCATTTGTTTTACCGTCCCGAGGACCCCAGTCTGGAAGTCTACACCTTCCTACGTGGCTTAGACCAACTGTTGTGGATTTCATTGACTGGTGCCAAGTTTTTGTTTGACCGCCGCTAGCTTTTTTCCAGCCTTACCCTATATCCGCTAACATTGCTCGTCGAGGGAGGCGATGGCTTGGCATACGTAACACATGTCCTAACCATCTCAGTCTTTGTAGCTTCACGACTTCGTCGGTTGATTTCCCCTGTTTACCTAGAACTCGACGCCTAACCTCAATGTTGCTCACCTTATTATGCCACTTTACACGGTAAATAGAGCGCAGGCACCTATGATCAAAGACAGCCAGCTAGTCTTTTCATGTCTTCCACTCTGAGTGGCCATGTCTCACAACCATAAAGGAGGACGGAGCGGACTGATGAGCAGTACACCCGCCCTTTGGTCGATAGTCGAACATCTCGTCTACGCCAGAGTCGGAGTAAACTCTAACCCAGAGATTCAAGTAGGCCGCCACGCGTCTGGTAATTGCATCTTCAGAATATCTGACTCCCTTTAGACATACGTTTTTTTTGGGATAGTCTCAGAAAACATCGCATAGTATCCCTTCTTTCTATCCTTTCAATGCAAATTTATAAACTCATTTGGAAATGAAATCAGCTGAGTGCTTATCCAGCTTAGAATGGCTTATCATGCGTAGTGTTGGGACCTTAGCTGCATAGAAATATCTTTTTATTGCTCCTTTCATTCTTTTGTCAATCGTTTGTAATAATGCTTCTCTTTTGAATATGAGACGAATAAACACTTTATTTTTTTCAATTATTAGTAAATGCTGATGACACAGAAAATATCAGAACACTTGAGCTATAGATCTAGACAGTTAGGCAGTACTAATGAAAGTCTATGAGAGCAAGTGAACTATGAGGGATACTTTGTCACTAAATAATTGCCTTCATAAACTTATATGGAAATACGTATGACACCGTAAGAAAAAATCAAAGCAACCATAAAGAATGACATAATAAACGAGATATGTACAGAAACATGATGATGTCAAATAGATGGAATTCAGAATATCAGTAGTATTACCAAACAAAGAAGGATCCTCTGAAACCTCATAGGAGTTTCTTAACAAGATTGGAATGAATGAAAACAACACTCAAGCCTACAGAATCACATATCATCAGACTTTGTGGTCAAGACAAAACTTTTAAGTTCATCTAATACCTCTTGATGTCAATGAGATCAAATAAACAGGTCAAAGGAGTAGGCCAGTGGACTGATTCACAAATACTAACTGAAATCTAGGCTAAATGAACGTATTAAGATAAGAAATTGAGGAAAAATGCTCAACTCTAAAAATTGACACCGTTACACACAAAGATACTTCAATACCATGGGATAAAGTGACAGTCTTAAAATTTAATGTAACAGGGTGCGGATGGGGGAAGATTGATAACTGCACCTCTATTTTTCGAATCAACTGAGAATCAAAGTCGATGTGACCGAAAAATCTTCTTTACAGTAAATTCTTCTCTTTTGGTTCTCACAATTATAAAATATGTAGTATTTGTTATCGTGACAAATAATACATTTTTTACGTAGAATAACAGATCAATAGTGATATTCAATGACAGAATAAATGGTGTTTGTGTGGCAAACGTGTTGGGTTGAGTTCAATTCCACACTTTTGTGAAATTGGAGATAATGGTGGTGATTAGTCACAGTAGATTCATATACTGTGGGTTAAGAAAAATTGACAAGTCAGTTCAAGACGAGAAAAGGTGTCAGGTGAGTGGCTAGTATAAAGTAGTATGCATTTAAGAGGAGATAGTAAGCCTGCGATAAATCCTTCATGAAGAAATAACCAATCTGTGCAATAAAATGAATGAAGGCGTATACTGAGA